CGCTTCCCAAGCGGCGCACTATCCAGTGCGCCACCGGGCCGGCCCCATACCCTTCGCTTTTAATTGTGCTTGGCATCCTGGCTCTGAGTCCCATCTGGAGGTCAATAGGGTCTCCTCTGCACGCATGTCCTTCTTGCTTCAAGCATTCTTTTAGGTTTCTGCAAGACAGCTTAGACCACGGTGATTAACAATCAACTGCTCATTACAAAGAACTTGAAAGATGTTTCTGTTATCTTTAAGAGGAACTTCAGGCAATTATTTAGGTCAGCCAGGGTCTGAGCTGCACACAATTAGCATGGGATATCTTTTCCCTGTAGGAGTTAAGTTGGGGTACGCAAAGACTAAAAATGAAGTTTTGTCAGGGAGGGTCAGCAGTCAATTTATAGTCCACCATTATTATTTAGCTCAGTTGATTATCTGGGGTAGTCAGCAGCTGGTTTCAGCTAAGCTCAACCAATTATTGGAGATGGCTTGCAGCTGGTTTCAGCCGTGACTTTTGCATCAGGGAGAGATTCCTAGGAGAGACTGGGACTCGCAGGTTGTTTGGATGGTCTTTGAGCCCTCATCCAACTCTGAAAATCAATGACTTCAAAAAAGTAGACACTCATTTTGAATAAGGATAAGAAAAATAAATAAATAAAAGACAAACCAATCCCAGCATCTTGGATTAACTGATCTGACTTTACTCAGGCTTGTATGGGTTGATTAGAAATATTTAAGAGATCATGGGCCAGCCCATGGCTCACTTGGGAGAGTGTGATGCTGAAAACAACAAAGCCACGGGTTCAGATCCTTACATAGGGATGGCCAGTTAGCTCACGTGGGAGAGTGTGGAGCTGACAAAACCAAGTCAACGGTTAAGATCCCCTTACCAATCATCTATTTTAAAAAGAGAAATATTTAAGATATCAAAATAGAAAATAAAACTTTAGCCACAGCCTGAATAATATATGTGCTTCTCATCAATAAGTTCTAACAGTGGATCAAAAGTAACACTTAGAGCCAATATATGGAAACAACCCCAATGTCCATGAAGGATGAATGGATAAGCAAAATGTGATATATACATACAATTGGATTATTATTCAGCCTCAAAAAAGAAAGAATTCTGACACATCTTAAACCATGGTAGGACCTTCAGGACATTATGCTAAGTGAAATGAGCCAGCCACAAAAGGATGAATACTGTATGATTCCACAGCATGTGAAGTATATGAGGTATCTAGAGGAGTCAAATTTATAGAGACAGAAAGTAGAATGTTGGTGGCCAGGGGCTGGGGAGAGGGAGAATAGGGAGGTAGCATTGACTGGGTGCAATCACCAGTTTTTGTTTGGGACGATGCAAAAGTTCTGGAGATGGAGGGTGGTGATGGTTGCACAGCAATGTGAACGTACGTACTGCCGTGAACTATGCACTTAAAAATGGTAGTAGCATTGACCGGGTGCAGAGTTTTTGTTTGGGACGATGCAAAAGTTCTGGAGATGGAGGGTGGTGATGGTTGCACAGCAATGTGAACGTACGTACTGCCGTGAACTATGCACTTAAAAATGGTTAAAATGGTAAATTTTGCATTACATATATTTTGCCACATTAAAAAAAAGAAAAAAGAGCAAGACTCAGATGCCTGGGTGAAAAGCAGAGGCATGAGTTCAGAAGTGGAGAAGGTTTCCCCTGGTACCATGTGACACTGAGAAGGTTACATTCTTTTCTGCATTTGTACTCCCATGAGCATCCCACATTCACAGAAAATATCACACTCTGTCTTCAATCGGAGATTTTTCCATTTAGTTTTTCGGAGATTTTTCCATTTAGTCTTCTTGTTCACATATTATTTTATTCATAGGGTACATGAGCGGTAGTGAAATTTCTCGGTCAAGAGTGATTCAGATGCTCCAAAATTTGATATGTACACTAGAGGCTCTTAATTGGAATTAAGGGGTAGGCTTTAGGCAATCCATACACTCCCTGAAACTGGAGACACCATTTGAGGCGTGTGTGATGATACATATTGTTTTCTATGTTTTTAGGTCATTTAAATGTCTGTTGGACTCAAAGATGCCTGATGGCAGAGGACGTGTGTTCCCCCAGTACAGAATCCTGAACACAGTGAATGTCAGTCAACACTCAACAGAATAGCTTTACCAAACTGAGTGTGTTGATCTGAGTTTTTCATTCGATTCAGTTTACCTGGGATCTTTTGCACATACTTGTCTCACTCTTGTAAGGTCTTACCATTTCTG